TTATATTTAAATAAATTTAACATTTTATCGCAAATTTGAAATAAATTCACCCTAATTAACACTACTATTTCACAGTATCGACAAAACAAGGTGTTGTTGTAATGGTCTTCTTTTTAAAAGGAATTTCTTCTTTGTTTTTCTTTTTTAATTGTGCATCCTGTGTAAACAATTCTCAACAATTACACGATAAATCCACGTGACAACAACGATTACTCTCAGTATCGTTCAATTACTGTCTAAACGACCATCATTGCGATTAATTGCAGGGCATGATCTTTGCTACTATGTCAATTACCATATGCACAACCGGCAAGACAATAAAACCGAATATAAATATTAAACATACGTATACACTGAATAATTCTGCGGTGAATATAAAACATCGTACCATCGTCTGCCGGAAGTCCTTACTGTTTCTTATGCTAATCACCTTATCCAGAATGAATCGCAATAGGTACAGGAATACCTGTAGAAAGTACGTAAGAATTGAACGTTCTCCATCTTTCATACATACATACAATATTTAAATATCGACACAGTTTGTCACATTGAAGTATTAACACGTTTCAAGTGAGTTTCCCTACGTCACATAAAATTTTCCTTTTTCACCAATTAATTTTATCTTAAATAAATCAACTTCGCTATACCTCTACAACAGGTATGATGTTCAGCATCACGTATAACAACGCGAGAAGAGATCGACCAGTCGCTCGACCCATTGTTCTAATGAGAGCCAGAAACGAGTACTCTGATCGTGGAACGCCGCATGACTCTTGATAATTGACCAAATACTCCCGAAAGTTGTACAAGAAATTTCTCTTTGGATCGTCTCTCGTAGGATTCTTGTAACGACCGTCTATCGTGTGCAACAAATTCGTCGAAATGTTATCTCCTTTAATTAAGAAAATTTTTTATCAACATATCTACATTGTTACGTTAAAACTTATTGTTCGTTGTTCAATTTTGAAAAATTTACCCGAAGTGAAATTCTTCCGATACCAATGTTTCGATCGATCGAAATCAGAAATGCTGTATGGATTTTTCCACCTCCATTCAGCGATCGTTGGTTCTTGTACAATATTTCCTTCGTTGCATTTCCAATCGCCTGATTTTTTATTCAAAGTGTTCCCATCTGTGTTCGATATGAATTTCTCGTCGAAATGCGGACACGAACCGTTCACTATTTCGCTTATCGTACACTTTCTTTCCGTTTTGCGTTTTTCTCCTTCTACGAACTAGCGAAACCGTACGAAATATACAATTTTTCATAATTAAATAAACGGAAG